AAACGGCAAAAATAAGTCAAACCTATGCCGACGTCCGCCGTTTGAATCATAGAGACATCATTAGCGCCGTCGCCAATGGCTAATGTCATCACATTTAGTGTCTCTTTAACCGCGCGAACAACTGATCCCTTTTGCAGAGGAGTAGCTCTACAGCAGAGCACAGAACCACAGAATTGGGCCAATTCTAGGAACAAACCAATGCTTTCTTTTTCAATCACAAACGATAGAGTCTTTCCGTCGACAACGAGTCCGCGTTTGTTACGGATATTGGAGTCGACAGCAGTCCTCTCAGGCATTCGTGCGCCCAATAACGCCGTCTTCAATAAACACGACAACGATTTCGATAGTTTCTGTTTAGACTTCCTTTTGGTCACTCCCTTTGCCTTCAGGTCTTTCAAGTGATTTTCTAAAACACGGTTCGATTCTTCCTATCAAATGTCAATTCAATTATAGCTTATAATTTATAACAATTATTATTTGCATACTTTTGACTCAATTTTCAAGTAAATTACATCCATTGCGTTAGTGAAGAGTCGACACGAATAGGCGATATTGACAGCAGTTTCCAACTTATCGCCCGTTAGGACCCAAACGACAATTCCGGCCGATCGGAGATTAGCGATCACTTCGGGTACCCTTTCCTGTAGACTGTCTTCAATACCCGTCGCACCCATTAATACTAAATTACATTCAATCCGATTGTGTGACTCTAACATCAATTCCTCGTTGTTTTCAATCGATTGTTCGGCTTTTTTATGCAATATATTCCAAGAGTTATATTCCTCTTCAGTCATGTGCGCAAATCTGTATGTATCTCAAGCGTCTGGAAATGCTGACATTCTTCAGTTGACAAAAAGTCATTAAAATTAGTAAAGTAAGTAGAGACCTAGTGATCAAAACCGGTTTGAGAGGTTTTACCGTGAATCAGAGCCCTTGCAGAACAGTATAATCTCATTAGTCTTCTGGTGTCGTAATATAATCGACATTTTCTTTCGCGTGGAATCAAAGTTAAGAATATTTAAGACTTTATATTCAATGACACCTTCGCTGGGAAGTGAGAGGAGAACCGATTCTGAGTTGCGTTTCAATAGTTTAACGCTATAACGAAACGCCGCGATAACTAACGCCACTTCGTCTGGACTTTCAGACTCATAGATGGGCTTCAAAGGGGTCGGCGAAGGACTCCGAGATTCGGTTGACTTCTTCGAGAGCGGAGATATCTTGTCGCTACTGTTACTGCACTACCCACACTTGTCACTGCGGTAAACGCTAAAGAATTGTGAGCCTGAGCGCAAGAAGAGGAGAAGATTCAGAAACAAGTCTATGACAGGCGACCGTCAGTAGACTACCTTATGTGGATGTTTTGAGACCACAGCTGAGTTACAAACGGCTAACAGTATGAAGAAGTCCTGAATTCGTTGATTCTGAGCCGACAGTTGATACGAAGTCTTCTGATCGGATCCATTGGTTTCTTCTTCCGATGGCATTCGTCTACTCATAAGACACAACTCGTCCTTCAGTCGAGGGTTTAGTGTAAAATCTCCGTTGGAATCGTCGTCACTGCACAGGGATGTGTCGGAACCGACTCGAGCCCTAACGTGACTGTAATCAATGCCACCGATAGAACAGCGCCTGAAAACCATACGATTCTCAGTCAATGTTCCCGTTTTATCCGAGAATATGTACTCAATTTGTCCCAAATCTTCGGTTATATTCAACGCCCGACAGAACACTCGCTTACCATTGGTCTCGTCGTATAAGTGCTGGTCTTTATGGATGTGATATATTTGTCCCAATTTTATCAATTCAATGGTCACGTATAGAGACAACGGTATAATCACTTGATATAACACTATAAACGTCCAGAATATGAGGAACGCATCCCAGACCGGGCTCTCAGTTTCAGAGCCATTCAGAAATACAACACTTCTCTGATCGTCATAAGAGGATAACCAAAGACCGTAACCTTTTATATAATTATTACAATCGACTAATCAGTAAATGTAATAATAAATGGTGTGTTAAATGTGTTACCAATTGATCCGGAAATACACATCAATAGGAGAATAATGACACACCAGATGACATCCCGATTCATGAATCTCTCGAGTTTACTCCTCTTATAACGCGGTCCGCCGTTGTTGAGCATCGCTTTGGTCTCGTGTCCCGCGTAGACCACAATCCCTTCGATTGAGTCCGTGTTCTTCAGAATGCAATCGCGAAGAAGCAGATTGTCTTTATTGATGGCTATTTTCTCACCATTTGTTTCGGTTATAAAGCCGTTGAAGCGATAGATCTGATGGTTGGGCGGATCGCACACAATGGTAGCCGTGAACTGATTCGGTGTGAAAGTGTGGCCCCGATTCGCGTATCCCTTAATCACTTGCCGTTGCTTTAGGTTAGACTCGCCGTCGAGATTAGACGTCTCGACATAACACAGGCCCGAGTCGTCGCTCGCGCTCAGCACCAGTAGATCCGCCGGAACCGTCTCATCGCCTATACGTAACACATGTATTGTGTCATCAGTGGTCATAGTTTTGCGGCCATTCATTGGTCAATCAATTCAATGGATTCACTCACAGGACAAGTGGACGATATCACCGACTCTGAGGGCTTCCCATTTGGTTTTGACGAATCGATCGCTTTTTCTAAACAAATTAACGCAAGTATTAAACACTCGAAGACATACAAGTGATCTATAATTACGGATCAAATACACGACACACGGAGTTATTGACGCGTTTGTCGGACATATAGCGGCGATAGTCTTCGAAGATGTCTTTGACAGCAGTGACGCCCAACACGAATATCAGTGGCAATAACTGAACCTCTTTGGCGAAGGCAGTGATCCCTAAGTGAGTGGACAATGCGTTAAACACTCGCGAAGACTGTGTGGCCATCGAGTGGTGGCAAACCTGGGATCCAATTTAGCACTTGAATGCCTAAGAAGTACAGATTGGCGAACCGATGGAACTGTTCGAACAGATTCTTCGGCAAAAACGTAATGATCGTGTATTTCGTGGTTCGGATCCGATTGTCGGCGAAGACTGCGTTCGGGTTTTGGGGCCACACTTGCTGTCCGTACGTGTGATTCGAGCGTATGGTTCGGGCCGTCGACTGTTGGCCACCACTTCTCGCACACAGATTCCAAGGCATCGGTGGGTCGGAAGCGCTCTCTTCGGGAGTCGATTTGTGAGTCAATGGATCCCAAGATATGGACACCAAATGTGGACCCAATCTATGGATCGATCGATTGATCCAATGGTTTGCGAATCGAATGTTTTGATCGATGCCTACAATCGTGTCAACCAATCAATGCTAGTATTGGTGTGTTTTGTGGGCGGAGTTGCTGTGAGTGACCGCTTCTATGCGTTGTGTATGGCTTTGATAATCACTCTATCGTCCAATCAGTGAATCACAAGTTTGTTCACTCAATCAATCATTTATTTTGTCACATGTTTTGTTCCCGACCCGTCCCTACCCCATCCCGTCCCGTTCCCATCTCTCATCATTCACTCATTGGCGCTCTCTTTGAATTCAATTTTAGTTAAGTTTTGATATTTTTTAAAGTTTTAATTTATTTAAATTCAAACTAAAAGTACAAATAAATAGTGTATTGTTTTTACAAAATATAACTTAAATTCAATGTTAAATAAAATATATATAAAATCCATAAAAATATCTCTAATATTACAAGAAGACTGTAAGAATAAAATACAAGAAATTGAAAACAATTTAAACCAAAAGTATATACAAAACATAGGAATAAATTAAACACAATCTTAAGACAGTCTCTTAAAAGCTAGTCTTTGGATGAGTTAGTGGTCAGTAGTAGTAATTGGGATTAGTATCACATTTGCGGTTAGAGTCAGTGAATCGGTGCCATCGGTCCGCACCCTTAGCTTTGGTGTCGGCCTTGGCTTTGGTCTCGCAGTGACGGGTCCTGTGATGCCTGTGAGGGGTCTGAGAGGTGGCGGCGAATGTGTTGACACCACTGATGGCGTTAGTGTTTCCGCTGTAATCGCAGTGATAGTCATTGTCTGAGATCTTGTGTTTGTTGTCGTAGTCGTAGGCGAAGTAATCCCTGACTTCTTGGCGTTCATTGCGTTCATTGCGTTTGTGTTGCTTTTGGTTCCAGTTGTGAAACTTCCTCTTCTTCTGCTCACTCTTGCGGAACACTTTGACCGACTCTTCGATGAACTCCATCTGACGCTCGAAGAACTTGTCGAACATTTGGTTGCGTCGGTGGAAGAGGTCTTCACTCAACGGGAACTTGAATTGGAAGATGTCTTTGGAATAGCGGATGGAATTGACGATTCGTGTGATCCGTGCCATCACTTCGTCATTGAGGACAATGTCTGGCATCTGATTGATGGCCGACTTATTGGGATAGAAAGAGCTGTTGACGTAAACGGGTTGACAATATTTGGGCACAATATCGAAGTAGAGGTGAATCTCTCCGATGTGTAGCACGAGTTGGTCGGCACTCATGTCGGCCACGGAATCGCTGGCAGAGAGCGGTCTCTCCGGCACTCGACCCGAGACAGTGATGAGAGTGTCGGACACCACAAACAGGTTGTATCGCATTCGCCATCTCTGGTAGTAGTTTACTGTCGACGTATAGAAACGCGGGTAACGACTGCTGATGAGTGAACACAAGAGCACACAATCGGAACTGTNACCCGTTAATCTTTGCCCTAAGCCCTCAACTCATTCCTATCCTTACCTCTGATTAGCCATAAAGAAGTGGTTGTCATCTGAAGAGCCACTGCTGTCGTCATCACTTGCATTGAGTCCATTGGCGTTCACTTCGATGTCATTGTCTCTGAAATCGACACAATCTTCAAACTCATGGCACAACTCATTGATGCCATTGTCGACAGTCAGAGAGTGGTCTTCACAGTCGTCACCATTTGGTTCACTCTTCTTATCAAAGAGTTTATGGACTAAAGAAAGAGACAAAAAGTGGTCAAAAGAGTGGACGAAATGCAAAGACAATCAAACGCTTACTTTTATCCCTAAATCCTGTCATAAAATTCATTTGTATTTCAATTCAAGCTTTGAATGAATGGAAGATTAGATTCAAAGAAGCGATGGATTAACGGATTAAGGGATTAATGGCTTAATGTTCAGTGAATTTGATCTCAAAATGCAATCAATGTTTGCATCAAATTCTGGACACAAAAGGACTGAAGAATCGAATCAATGAATCAATGCTTCAATGCTTTCAACGCTAAACACAATTCAAATGAAATACAGTTTGTGTTAACAATACTCTCATCGCGAGAGCTATTGAAGCCATTCATAGGCAACAAGTCATTGAAGTCTAACTTTTATTAAACTTTTGTTTTACAGTTAATTCAAACTTAACTTAAATTTCAAGAGATTTACGGTTCAAATGACTAACGAATAGAAAGTGAGGATTAAATGTACCGTTGATTTAGTGTTAATACAAATATTTCTCGAGTTTTAAACAATTAATTAATTTTGAATTCAAATTCAATCAATCATTCATTCATTCAAACAGTTATTATTTATTCAACAGTTTTTCCTCTCATTTTTGGATTCGTTGCAGACTTTTAAGACTCAAAGAAGATATCCAGAGGAATGAAGTCTCGACTAAAACCTCAGAATGTGTTGTCATTTCCTTCAGTGAATCCCGAAGAACAAGAGTTGGCGGTAGTGTTGGCCCTCTTCTGTCCGAAACACAAGAAGATTGCGATCAGTTGTACGACAGAAGCGAAGAATAAGCGCTTCCTTTGGTTGCCTTTCGTTTCGGGAAATCTCAACGAAACTCAAGATTTCGTGGATTTGATTGAAAGAGGAGTTGAAGTGATTTTTGGCGGAAAAGTGGATTCAAATGCAGTCAACAGTCCATCGCTTGGAAGCGCAGAGATTCAGATCAGACCCGAAGGACCGGCCGTTGAAAGAGTGGTTCAACTGATTATCATCGATGACTCCGTCAAGTGTTGCCAAAACAAAGAGCGAATCCAATGGATGTCTGCGAAGGAAATAAAGACAGAAATAGATAAAGGAATCGATGGATGTCTTTGGGGTCCAGAAGTTCTTCGAGTGTTTCATTTGGCGGTCAAACACTTCAATCAGATCTCAGAGCAGAGGGAAGACTTCGAGTTGGACTCAGACTACTATTCGGGGTATTATTTGCACGAAAAGAGTGACAGATATTCAGTGAAGACTCCGTTTTCCAAAGAAGACAATCAGTTGGTGTCTGAAGTGAACATCACTGGAGAACAGATCCAAATACTTCAGACACTGTTTTACACGCATTGCTTCCCGAGTATAGGAATGTCCGGCCAATCGTTGTTCGAGTTTTTGGCAAATTTGGGCATAAATTGGGACAAAGAAGAGAAGGAAAACCTCTTTAAGGCTTTCAACACAACGAACAGTGGATTCGTTGGGTTCGACGAACTGGTGGTCGGATTGGCAGCAATGGAACCGCTCACAGATCTCAAGCCATTGGTCTCAAGAACTCGATTTGTTTTCAACTACTTTTGCGACAAAAAAGACAAACTCTTGAAGTCTTTAAATGTGAAGAAAATGTTGCAAAAAGTGAACACAAAAGACACTGAAATGGAGAAGAAATTGAATGAATTGATGAGTGATTCGCAAAATGGCATCACTTTTGAGAAATTCAATACTAAAGTGGTTTCAAATGTGTTCAACAGTTTGTGT